GGAAGCAAGGGGGAAAAGGAGGGCAAGCATGGGGGGAAAGGAGGGGAAATAGGCGGGAAAAGGAGGGGAAGCAAGGGGGTGAAAGGAGGAGAATCCGTGCCTCTCCCCTCCCTCTCCTCCTCTCCCCTCCCTATCCGCCTTCCGCATTCCCCGTGTCGACCTGCCGCCCCCATTTAACCTTCTCGCTGCTCGTCTTCTAAGGTTGTATGCTGCTTTGCAATAACAAACGCAGCAAGTGGATAATGGACTTGCTGACAGGATCAGCGAGTCGTGTCACAAGAACGAGGAAAATTTTAGAAGCAGAAAGGGGGTTTGCACAAGCAGCAGTTGAGATACATATATGAAACCCTAATTGGGTTGTACTCGCTATAGAGTATCCCACTGCACGCTAGACAATTACATCATTCTGACAAGTCGCACGATGCACTGTCTCACAGTGACTTGTTCCCGTGCGACAAAATCTGCGCAGGTCATAGGGGGAGCGAATGCTTCCGACTTACACTCTAACTCAAATCGTTTCAAGTACATTGAATGACGGCAACTATGAAAGTCTACTCAATCGGTGTCATACCTTTTTACGGACATAAGTCTAAGTAGGTGGCGTTGTTAGTAGGACGGGCGTAGATCTCTGTTTAGATCGTGAGCACAGTCGAGTTGAATCAGTTTCGGAGAGATTTCTAGTGCGGCCGTGCGAACTCTTCTGATTGGATGTTTTCGTCTCTTCATGCAACCCATTTTTGGCTTTGTGTTTGAGAGGTTCGCATGTTTGGCATGCACGGAATATTTCAATTGCTCGTCGAGGAAAGTAGTCCTCGCCAAAGCCACTCAACCAAAATAGGATTCGCACACCGTCACCTATAGCCTATTTCATATCCACATAACTCGAAACTTTACCATGCTGACCCCGGGCTTTAAAGGAAAGCTATTCAATAGAGATTGAAATCGGTTTTGGCTTCCAATGTGTTTGTACCGTCATACCCCGGATATAAGCGCCACCCTTGTGTGAAATTGAACAAGAAATGGAATGACTAAGGGAAAGTTGGGTACAAGTACAAACCCTAGAAAGCTGTACCCCATATGTGCTACCCCACTATAGCCTACAGTAGCTATGTCATATAAATGTGACACACCCCCATAGGCAAAGTGGGGGAGAACAAGGGGTCACAAGACCAGTCAAGCAAAGCAAAGCAAGCTCAAGGTGGATCACAAGTCACCACACATTCCGAGCACAAGTTCAAGGCCACAAGGCCAGTTCACATGCAGGATTACATATATATATAAGGCTAGACAAGCAAGAGCAGGTGTATATATATATGCAACAGTACAAACAAGGTCAAGGGGTGAGCAAGTGAGGCAAGGTAGACATAAGACCCAGCTGAGTATAGAAGCGCTGATGATCACAAGGCGCAAGTGCCTTGGTGAAGATATCAGCAGTGTTGGCCTCAGAGGCCACGTACGCAAGGCGCAGCTGACCACGCTGCTGTAGCTCACGAGCAAGGAAGTAGTGGAGAGCAATGTGCTTCGTTCTGTGCTCCAGTCTCTGCTCTCGACACAAGGCCAGCATGGCCTTGTTGTCTACGTACAGCACTGGAGGAGAACGAGGCGGCTCTCCGAGGTCAGTCAGCAGGTACGTGAGCCAGCGAAGCTCCTGTGCAGCCATGGCCCCGGCGTAGATCTCAGCCTCACAACTGGAGCCGAGAACAGAAGACGAGCAGGTAGACCGCCACGAGACAGAGCCGGAACCAAGGCTGAAGGTGTAACCCTGTGACGACCGCTGCGTAGCCTGGTCGTCAGCCGAAGAAGCGTCTGCGTGACCAGTGAGGACCACTGGACGTCGCCCTCCAAGCACTAGCCCCATGCCCGACGTACTGCACAAGTAGCGCAACACCCTCTTCGCTGCAGCCATGTGCTCTGGTCGGTGTCTCCCAGGAGCCACATAACGTGCCAAGATGCTAAGAGGGTATGCAAGGTCAGGTCGTGTGCAGGTCATCAGTTACATGAGGCAGCCAACAAGCTCTGGGTACGGGCCACTCGGCTCTACGGACTCATCCGAAGGCAGAGCTGAGAGCGAGTGGCGAGTAGACAGAGGAGTGGCCTGAGGCAAGGAGTACGTGAAGTCGAAGCGCTGAAGGACCTGCTGCACCATGTGTGACTGAGTCAGGGTAATGGTGCGCTGTGCTCTGTCCCGGGTGATCTGCAAGCCAAGGTAGCTGCGCAGTTCACCCAGGTCTGTGCATGTGTGTCTCTTCTACAGCTCAGACTTCACGTAGTCGAGTCCAGCAGTGTCAACAGTGGCGAAGACCAAGTCGTCAACGTACACGAGGATGTAGAACGGCGGCAAAGAGGGGTCGGTGCATAGAAACAGCGACGGGTCTGCAGTAGAAGGAGCAAACCCAAGAGCCGCAAGTGCAGTCCTCACTGTATCGTGCCACTCACGGGGCGCCTAGCGGAGACCGTAGACTGGCCGCCGGAGGCTCCACTGGGTACCAGGAGGAAACGACCCAGTGAAGCCATGTGGGCGGCGCAGCCAGATCTCCTCGTGCAGACTGCCCTGCAAGAAAGCTGTGCTGAAGTCAAGACAGTGAAGCTCGTAGTCGCGCTGAGTGGCTATGTGCAGCAGCACCCGAAGAGTGGTCATCTTCGGGGTGGGAGAGAAGGTCTGAAAGTAGTCAACTCCCTGCTGCTGACTGAAGCCTCGAGCCACGTAACGCGCCTTGAAGACAGGCGGAGAACCCGTCGGCCGCTTCACCCTGAAAATCCACATGCCACTGACGATGTTCGCCCCAGGTGGGGGAACCTCGTCAACGTAGGTGCTTGTGGACTTCCAGGAAGCCATCTCTGCGTCCATGGCTGACTGCCACTGTGAGGAGTAGGGACCCTCGATCGCCTTAGCGTACGATCGAGGAGTCGGGATGTCTGGTGCATCCAGGTCTCCCTCAGGGGCAATCAGCGTGGAAACGAGATGAGGCAAAGCAGCAGCAAAACACTGGAACTCCTCCTGCCTGTCCTCAAGGACGTCCGTACTAAGAGCACACTCACCCCCGACGGACGGAGGATAGACAGACTCAGACTCAGCAACAAGACTAGTAGCGTAGTCTAGACGACATCGAGCAGCAAAGTCAACAAGCTCAGCGACCAAGGCAGACGCTGCAGTGGACTCAAAAGAAGGGTCAGTGACAAGAGTAGCTAGGAGATGCATGACATTAGGATTGGCAGCACGAAGAGAGTCTGATTCAGGGTCAGCAAGAGTAGGAAGAGAGGACTCTGGAGGAGACGAAAACGGGACACGCAGAGGAGCAGTGGAAGGACGCAGTGCGATCTGGTGTGTGCCGGGGACCGCAGGAGGACGCGGACGCGGAGCACGACTACTAGTGCGAGCAGCACGAACAGGCAACGCAGGACGAGACGCAGGCTCACGACGCTCAGCAAGACCTCCAGTAGGACCAGTGTAGGGAGAAGGAGCAGGCAGGGGGGAGGCGGGCTGTAACTGTGAACGTGACTGGACAGGCTGTGGACACACTAAGAGAGGAGCAGGACCTGTAGAGGGCGGGAGACCAAGAACCTGCTCAAGGAGCGGAACGAAGTACGGCCGCGGCCACGCAGTGCCTCCAGAAGCAGCAGGGACAGCACCAGCACCCCCAGCGGCAGCACCAGCGCCAGTAGCACCTCCAGCTCCAACAGCGCCAACACGAGTACCCACAGAAGCACTAGCGCCAGCAGAACCACCAGCGCCAACACCCCCAGCAGCTCCAGCTCTAGCAACTCCAGCTGCTCCAGCTCCAGCAGCTCCAACTCCAGTAGCACCCCCAGCAGGACTCTCAGTCCCAGCAGCTCCAGAGCCGCCAGGACAAGCACCTCCAGGACCAGCAGCAACAGTAGTACCTCCAGCTCCAGCAGCACGGCTCCAGCGCTGGGCAAATAATCGCGTAGCTCCTGCGGAGAGAGGGGCTCCCGCCTCGACGAAACACCGCCAGAGGCCACCCGAGTGAACCCAGCTTCCCCAGGCTCCGCACCCCCACGCTCAGCACCCCCAGGCTCCGCACCCCCAGGCTCAGCACCCCCAAGCTCCGCACCCCCAGGCTCAGCACCCCCAGACTCAGCACCCCCAAGCTCAGCACCCCGAGACTCAACACCCCCAGGCTCCGCACCCCCAGACCTGGCACCGGCAGGCGCAGGGACCCTAGCAGCACCAGAGTCAACAGCTACCTCGACAGGCTCAACTGTGTCTACCTGGGACACACGTGACGGGGCAGGACCCTGAGGGGGGAGGGGGTCTACCGGGGGAGGACCTTGCACTAGGAAGAGCGGCGGCGGGGGGAGGGGCGCAGTGCGGTAGGGGAAGAGACGGTAGTAAGGCACCGACTCGTCAAAGGTGACGTCCTGGGAGGACAGAACACGGCGCGAGGTGGGGTACTAGAACCGCCAACCAGGCGCGTCAGGGGGGAAGCCAAGGAAGACGCAGGGAACAGCACGCGGGGACGGCTTGTCCGAAGACAAGTCGCGGACAAACGCCCGAGATCCCCAGACCCGAAACGCAGACGCATCGCCAACCTTCCCCGTCCACCGCAAGGTGGGGGAGGTCTCTGACAAGGAGACCCGGGGCTGAAGGTTGAGCTGATGCGCCGCGTACTGAACCGCAAACGGCCAGAGAAAATGGGGAGTAGCCGCATGGATCTTGGACGTACGAGCGACGTCCATGACCATGCCAATGCGTCGCTCAGCTGACGGGTAAACGTGGCCAAGTGTCGGCCCGTCCGAGCACACGTACAGTGGGTCACCCGCTGACTCGCAGGTGTGAACTGGTCAACCCCCCGATCCTGTAGATCAGCTCCACTCACCAAGTTCGTAGAGAACGAGGGGAGGTAGAGACCTGACAGGGTGCCAGAGGGGGCTGCCGGACACGGTAAGACAGTGGAGAAACTAGCAAGGACAGGACCCCCAGAGGGGTCCGCCAGGGAGACCGCAACCGGCCGACTAAGCGGCGTAAGCGTGGTGCGGTCTCAGAAGAAGGAGCGGGAAGCACCCGAGTCAAGGGTGAAGGTGTGTAAGGCCTGAGACAACGTGGTACCTGAGAGAGCAGACTCACCAGCACCTGGGGCAGCAGACGCACTAGCACATGGAGTAGCAGCCTCACCAGCACCTACAGCAGCAGCCGCAATGCCTGGGTCAGGCGGAACACACAGGTAACAGTCACCCTCATCACTAGTAGACACAGCATATATGGCAGCAAGAATAGCATCATAGTCAAGATCAAAGATAGCTACCCTAGCCCTAGACAGCTCTCCCCAGCGAGGGATCTCAGTGGCGTCAGGGAACTGATGACGCCAAGCGTCCGTCAGGCGGCCGAAACAACGCTGGGAGGAGTGCGTGCCTCCGCACTGCTCACCAGAGCGGTCGCCTGTACGGAGGACGTAGGTGCAGGGACCACTACCCCCACCCCACTGACGCCCAGCGTACCACTCTCGAAGCTGCTGAGGGGACAGGGTCTCACGACCGCGTTGCTGCTGCTGGCGCGGACCACCACCGGAGCTACTCCTCTGCGTAGAGCCGCGACCAGCTCCACCGCCAACTCCGCCGCCTCCGCCACCTCCGCCGCCTCCGCCACCTCTGCCACCTCCGCTCCCTCCGCCACCCCCGCCGCCTCCTCCGCCTCCACTGCTGCCACCGACACCTCCACCACCGCCACCACTCCCACCACCACCCCCACCCCCTCCACTGCCTCCACCTCCACCTCCACCGCCCCCACTGGCCCCCCTATCGCCCTTGCCCCCCTGGCCCTTGCCGGTGCGGCGCTTCCCGCTAGGGGCAGACCCAGCGCTGACCGACTCGAAGCCAACAAGGCCGGCCGCAGCAGCAGAAGCAACAGAGGGCAAGAGCGGGGAGGGAGAACACCCCTCAAAGTCGGGGGTGCGAGGGTCACCACGAGAGGCTCCTACAGCGACTATGCTCCTCTCTGCTGCTAGGAGGCGCTCCTCGAGGAGGTCAATGGTGAGTGTGGTGGGGCAAACTGAGAGGAAGTGGTCCTTGACTAAGCGAAGGGAGTCAGGGAGCCGGGTGACTATGTAGTAGAGAGTGATGTACATGGGGGGGGGGGTTCTTGGCACAGATTTCAGCAGGAAGCGCAGCGCGGTAGCGAGTGTGACTAGTGCAAAGGTGCGTAATGAGGTCCGCGACTGTGGGAAAGGCAGCAAGGTCAGGGAACAGGTACGGCAGCATGAGGCGGCTAAGCGCAGCAGTGGCAAGGGAGGAGTAGCGTGCAACTACAGCGTCGTACAAGGTGTTAGCACTCTTGTACTGGCTAAAGTTCGCACGCTAAGTGGTCGGTAAGTGGCGACGCATAGCAAGACGTGCAGCAGCATCGCGCGTGGCCCACTGTGAGTGAACAGTGCTGTCAGAAGTAGCAGGCGGGGCAGGAGAGACACCAGAGGTGAGATCGAATAGTGAGAGTCTGTCCGCCCTATCGCACTGTAAGAACAGCTGGAGGTCATCTACCCAAACCTCAAAGTCCACAGCACGACCCTCAGTGTCAAAGGTAAGGACACTGGGGGTAGTCATGGCTGCAGTGGTCTAACAGGGAGTGAGCTCACCAGTCCAGGGAAGTAGGGCCGGGGCACGCCGGAAGGAAGGGTGACTCGGCGGCTTGGCTGCTGGGCGGCTCGGCTGCTGGGCGGCTTGGCGGCTCGGCTGCTCGGCGGCTGGGCGGCTGGGCGGCTCGGCGGCTCGGCGTCTCGGCTACAGGGCGGCTTGGCGGCTCGGCTGCTGGGCGGCTCGGCGGGTTGGCTGCTGGGCGGCGCGGCGGCTCGGCTGCTGGGCTGCTGGCGGCGTTGAAGGGGCCGGTAGAGACGGCGACGGGGCCGTGAAGGGGCAGCGACGGGGCCGTTGAGGGTGGCTACCGGGCCGCTAGGGCGGCTACGGGGCCGGCAGGTGTCGGCGACGGGGCCGATAGGGCGGCGACAGGGCCGTTGAGGCGGCGACGAGGCCGCTCAGGGCGGCGACGGGGCTGCAAGGGTCGGCGACGGGGCCAATAGGGCGGCGACGGGGCCGCTTAGGGCGGCGACGGGGCCGCAAGGGTCGGCGACGGGGCCGAGAGGGCAGCGACGGGGCCGCGTAGGGCGGCTGCAGGGCCGCGAGGGTCGGCAATGGGGCCGGCAGGGCGGCGACGGGGCCGTGAGAGGGGCCGCGAGGGGCCGCGAAAGGGGCCGCTAGGGGCCTGAGGAGGGCGCGACGGGCCGCTAAGGGCTAGGACGCGACGGTAGAAGGGCACACGGGGCGCGACTCGGGCAGAAGCAAAGCGCGCTCAGGGCAGTAAAAAAAATCGTGGTGGGCTCTTAGAAAGCGTTTCCACTAGGGAACCTGCTCTATACCATGTGAGAATCTGAGGAAGGAATGATTGCATTGAGCAGCATGAGGAGTACAAGTAGGAAACCCCAAAGTGTTGTACCCCATATTGACTACCCCACTACAGCTTAAACAGACTATAGCAAATATAGTTCGACATCCCCCCATGCTTCTCCTACTTTTCCCCCATGCGTCCCCTCCTTTCCCCCCATGCTTCCCCTCCTTTTCCCCTTTGCTTCCCCTCCGTTTCCCGCCTGCTTACCCTCCTTTTCCCGCCTGCTTCCCCTCCTTTCCCCCCATGCTTCCCCTCCTTTTCCCCTTTGCTTCCCCTCCGTTTCCCGCCTGCTTACCCTCCTTTTCCCGCATGCTTCCCCTCCTTTCCCCCTATGCTTGCCCTCCTTTCCCCCCTTGCGTTCCCTTCTTTCCCCCCTGTCAAGATAAGCAGGGATGGTTGCATTGAATGAAATGTGGGTACAAGTACTAGCCCTAACTTCGGGTTGTACCCCATATGGGCTACCCCACTAAAGCCTACACAGAACTAACACACATATAGTTGGACACACCCCTATAGGCAAACTGGGGGAGAACAAGGGGTCACAAGACCATTCAAGAAAAGCAAAGCAAGCTCGGGGTGGATCACAACGTCACCACACACTCGAGCACAAGCAAAGGGCCGCAAGGCCAGGTCACATGCAGAGGTATATATGCAACAACAACAGAACAGTGATCACTACCTAGCAAGAGCAAGCATGCAGGTATATATATAGATCACAGTACAAGCAAAGTCACGAAGTGAGCAAGTGAGACGAAACAGGCACAAGGCCTAACATAGTACAGAAGCGCTGATGATCACCAGACGAAAGTGCTTTGGTGAATATATCAGCAAAGTTGGCCCGAGTGGCCACGTGAGCAAGACGAAGCTGACCACGCTGCTAAGAAGTAACGCAGAGCGATGTGCTTCGTTCTGTGCTCCAGCCTGTGCTCCTCACACAAGGCAATGGCGGCCTTGTTGTCTACGTACAGAACTGGAGAAGAACGAGGCCGCTCTCCCAGGTCAGTCAGCTGGTAGGTGAGCCAGCGTAGCTCCTGTGCAGCCATGGCCCCCGTGTAGATCTCAGCCTCACAACTGGAGTTGAGAACAGAAGACGGGCGGGTAGACCGCCAAGAAACAGAGCCGCAGCCAATGTTGAAAGTGTAACCCTGTGACAACCGCTGCGTAGCCAGGTCGTCAACCCAAGAAGCGTCTGAGTGTCCACTGGGGACAACTAAGCTCCGCCCTTTAAGCACGAGCCTCATGCCCGATGTACTGCACAAGTAGCGTAGTACCCTCTTCGCAACATCCATGTGCACCTTTCGGTGCCTACCAGGAGCCACGTAGCGTGCCAGAAGGCCAAGAGGGTACGCAAGGTCAGGACAAGTGCAGGTCATCAGGTACATGAGGCAGCCCACTAGCTCAAGGTACGGGCCACTCGGTTCTACGGTCTCGTCCGAAGGTGGAGCTGAGAGCGAGTGACCTGTAGCCAGAGGAGTGGGCTGTGGCGAGGACCAAGTGAAGCCGAAGCGCTAAAGGACCTGCCGCACCATGTGTGACTGAGTCAGGGTGATGGTGCGGCGTGCTCTGTCCCGGGTGATCTGCACAGCTCACCCAGGTCTGTGCACGTGTGTCTCTTCTGCAGCTCCGTCTTCACAAGGGCGAGAGCCTCAGTGTCAGCAGTGGCAAAGACCAATTCGTCGACGTACACGAGGATGTAGAACGGCGGCAGTGAAAGGTCGGTGCGTAGAAACAGCGATGGGTTAGCAGTGGAAGGGGCAAACCCAAGAGCCGCAAGTGTCGTCCTCAGTGTGTCGTGCCACTCACGAGGCGCTTGGCGGAGACAGTAGACTCGCCGACGGAGGCTCCACTGGGTACCAGGAGGGAACAACCCAGTGAAGCCAGGTGGGCGGCGCAGCCAGATCTCCTCGTGCAGACTGCCCTGTTTGAAAGCTGTGCTGAAGTCCAGAGAGTGAAGCTCGTAGTCACGCTGAGCGGCAACGTGCAGCAGCACCCGAAGAGTGGTCATCTTCGGGGTGGGGGAGAAGGTCTGGAAGAAGTCAACTCCCTGTCGTTGACTGAAGCCTCGTGCAACGTAACGAGCCTTGAAGACAGGCGGAGAACCCGGCGGCCGCTTCACCCTGAAAATCCACATGCCATCCACGATGTGCGCCCCAGGAGGGGGAACCTCATCAACGTAAGTGCCTGTGGACTTCCAGGATGCCATCTCCGCGTCCATGGCTGTCTGCCACTAAGAGGAGTAGGGACCAGCGATCGCCTCAGCATAAGAACGCGGAGTCGGGATGTCTGGTGTATCTGGGTTTCCCTCAGGGGCAAGCAGCATGGCCACAAGATAAGGTGCAGCGGCTGCAAGACACTCAAAGTCCTCGTGCTTGTCCTCAAGGACGTCCGTGCCAAGAGCACACTCACCCCCGATGGACGGAGGACAGACAGACTCAAAGTCAGCAACAAGACTAGCGGCGTAGTCTAGACGACAGGCAGCAGCAAAGTCAACAAGCTCAGAGACTAAGGCAGACGCAACAGCAGACTCAAACGACGGGTCAGTGACAATAGTGGGGAGCAGACGCGTGGTAGTCGGGTGAGCATCACGAACCAGGTCAGACTCAGGGTCTTGAACGTCAGGCAGAGAAGACGCAGGAGGAGACGGTAGGGGAACACGCTTTGGAACAGAGGAAGGACGAAGTGCCATAGCGTGCGTGCCAGGGTCAGGAGGCGGACGCTCACGAGGAACACGACGACCAGTGCGACCAGCGCGAACAGGCGACGCAGGACGAGACGCAGGCTCACGACGCTCTGTAAGCGAGTCTGTCTGCTCAGTGTAAGGAGAAGGAGCAGGCAGTGGTGCGCCGGGCTGCAACGGGAGGCCAGTGGAAGACAGGAGGCTAAGAACCTGGCGTAGCACGGAGTCAGGCAGTGGCAGAGACGACGGTGACGGCGTAGCGAAAAACAGTTGCGACGGTGCAGTGCCACCTGTACCAGTAGCTCCAGTGCCTCCAACAGCTCCCGAACCTCCAGCTCCAGCGCCTCCAGCAGCAGCACCTCCAGCTCCTGTGACTCCAGCAGCAGCACCTCCAGCTCCAGCGCCTCCAGCAGCTCTAGCGCCTCCAGCAGCCCCAGAACCTCCAGCTCCAGCGACTCCAGGGGAAGCACATCCAGGTCCAGCGCCTCCAGCAGCAGCACCTCCAGCTCCAGGGACTCCAGCAGCAGTACCTTCAGCCCTAGCGCCTCCAGCAGCTCCAAAATCTCCAGCTCCAGCGCCACTAGTAGCAGCACCCCCAGACGCGGCACCTCCACCCTCAAGGTCCCCAACTCCAGGGTCGACAGGACCAGCGCCAGGGCCTCCAGCAGCAGCACCCCCAGAACGGGCACCTCCAGCTCCAGGGTCTCCAATGCCAGGGTCGACAGCACCAGCTCCAGGGCCTCCAGTCCCTGTACCTCCAGCAGCAGCAACCCCAGAACCGGCACCTCCAGCTCCAGGGTCTCCAACGCCAGGGTCGATAGCACCATCTCTAGGACCTCCAGCCCCAGTACCTCCAGCAGCAGCCCCCCCAGAGCCGACACCTCCAGCTCCAGGAGCAGTACCAATCCCGGTAGCACCAGTACCTCCAGTACGAGCACCTCCAGGACCAGAGACACCAGTACTCCCAGCGCCTCCACGACAAGCAGCTCCAGCAGCACGACTCCTCAGGCGGGTACGCGACGCAAGCCACTCTCGTGCCTGCTGAGGTGAGACAGGCCCGCGTCGTGAAACAAGACTCAGAGGAACGCCAGCAGACTCAGCACCCCTAGGCTCCACACCCCCCGGCACATCACGGACGGGCTCTGCAGCCCCAGACTCCGCAGCCGTAGGCTCAGCACCTCCAGGCTCCGCACTCCCCAGCACCTCACGCGCAGGCTCAGCACCCTCAGAAGCAGCACCCCCAGCAGCGCCTCCCGCAGCAGCACCTGAGTCGTTAGTGACCTCTACAGGCTCAGCCTAGGAGGGCGGGTCTACGTGAGACACACTTGAAGGAGCAGGACCCTGAGGGGGGAGGGGGTCTACCTGAGGGGGACCTGGAGCGAGGAAAAACGGAAGGGAAGAGAGAGGGGCAGTGCGGTAGGGGAAGAGACGGTAGAAAGGAACCGACTCGTCAAATGTGACGTCCTGAGAGGGGAAGACACGGCG